CTGTTTTCTTGAGTGTATCCCTTGAAGGTTCTGTGTTAGAAGCTGGGCGCCCAGTGTGGCAGCCTTGAGGCTATTGGATCCGCGGAGATGCCTAGGTCAACAAGAAAGTCACTGGGGAAGAACTCATGTAGTTCTCAGTTAGTTAGGGGCAGAGTCAGGGTTTCACACCGTAGCCCAGGCTGGTCTGGAGCTTACAGTGATCCTCCTGCCTCAGCTTCCCAAGGGCTTGGGGGCCAGGCAAGCATCTCGCTGTCACTCACACATGAACTTTCCCCCTACTAGGGAATCGTTGGTCCTTCTGATGGGCTGTATACAAATGTCACCCCTAAGCCCCAACACACAGATCGGCCAGTGACGGATCTAAATCAAACTCTCAAAGTCAAAGCAATGTTCGCTTGCCGCTCTCTCTGCTTTTGTGATGACAGATGGCAGAACCCGTCTGCCTAGCCCAGGGAGTGGCCCCGGGGATTCAGCCTTGGCTCAGGATAGGGAGGGTGGCTTCAGAGTCAGCCAGATTTGCTTGTGAGTCTTGACCCAACTGCTCACCAGGACAGAGAGAGTCTGGGATGGCTCATCACACAGTCAGTGGCCGGAAATACTGGACGAGTGCCCGTGGGTACCTGACTCTCACTGAGCCGGAAAGCCACGGGTGTCACTAAGACCTCCAGCCTTTTCCTCACCACAGCTCAGAGGCTTGCTCGTGCCTGCCCAGCTGCCCTGTGGCATAGCAGCCCTGTCCTCTGTCAGTCACCTTGACTCATTTTCCCAGGTGTCGAATCACAGAGATCTCCTGTGCTCTTAAAACAGGCACCTGATACCTTTGGCTCTAAATCCTGGGGGAAAGTGGCCCGAAATTCCCTGACAGACAGGAGGGACCCCAACAGCAGCAGCGGCTGGCTCTAAAAGCAACCGTGGGCGGAACTTGGCAGGTCTTGCTGGAATGCCTCAGTGGTCAGGGTAGCACACCCTGTGTCCCCAGAATGAGATCCCCTTCTCAACTGTGGCAGGCAGTGGTACTGCAGGGCAGTGGCCAGGAGTCTCTGGAGTGCAGCAGGCCACTTCGGTCTGGCAAGCCCTCCTCCCAGTAAAGCCGATGGCAGTGCCAAGGAGCCTCCTGGGAATAGACTTTACTTCCTTGCTTCTAAACTGCAGAATGGCCAAGCAAGGCTCTGGAGACCAGCCTGGGCACTCTGGACCCCCTGCAGCCAGAACTCTGTGCTCAGTGTCTGCTGTTGTTCTGAGTTCACAGTGCTGGGGATGGGGGAGGGGGAGGCAGGGGCCCCACCACTGGGCCAGCCCCCAGTCCTTACTGTCTGCTTTCATTACACTGTTTGTCTTAAAGTTGGAGTCTATGGAAATTGGGTCCAGCTGAGAACGAGCAGCCACGACCCACTCTGGCCTCAGCCAGGCCGAGGGAGCACTCTGGTATTAGAGCAGAGATGGTCCACCCCCCCCCCCCCCCCCACTGGGAGGACCAGAGAGTTGGGCTACTGCAACCTCAGCCCCTCCGGGGAATTGGATAAGATCACTTCCCTGGCCCCAGTGGCAACCACCTTCATTCTAGTTACTGGGGTAGCATTTGCATATGAGAACGAGATGTGGGTGTCCTGTAACTCCTGAGTTAGACCTCAGGAATCCTTGCCTGTCGGTACCTACCTGGGCCTGGAGGTCCCCTCACTGATAGAGATATGGGCTCACCGTTTAAACCTGCTGGGTACTCACTCGTCCAGTCCACACGTATTTGTCAAGGGCCTGCTCCATTCCTGGCACAGTGTGCTGGGAGCCAGTGTAATGCAATAGCCATAGCAAGGCAGACAAAAGGTGCCCTTCTCGAAGCTGAGATTCAAACGCAGGGACCAGGGAGCCAAAATGAGAATGCTGCAGACTGAGAGGGTGGCATCCATCCGTGGAGAAGAATGTTACCTGGAAACTGAGCAGAAGCTGTTTCAGGCTGACACATCGGAGTGGCCTTTCCCCTTAGTCATGGCCTTTGCTATGATGCCCATCCATTCTTCATGCAGTGACCAGGACGTGCTTCCATTTTCTTCTCTGGAGCCATGGTCAGCCTGTGGAAGAACTTGGAAGGATTGGGGATCAGTGTGGCCCATAGATTGTCATTATTCTGTGGCCCAGAACCTATAAGTTCTATGGAGTTTTGACTCCCTCCCTCCCTCCCTCCCTCCCTCCCTCCCTCCCTCCCTCCCTCCCTCCGTCCCTCCCTCCGCGTGTGTGTTGCATGCATGCATTTGCACAGTTGTGTATGCCTATGTATACGGTAGGAAGGCCAGAGGAGGACGGCAGGTGTCCCGCTCTATTGCAGTCAACAAGCCCCAGTGATCCTCCTGCCTCCCATCCTCCAGGTCCTAAAATTACAGGCACACATGGCAGAGTCTGTTTTTTGTTTGTTTGTTTGTTTGTTTTTTAACCTGGGTTCTGGGGATTTGAACTCAGGTCCTCACACTTGTACAGCAAACACTTTGCTGACTGAGCCATCTCCCCAGCCCCCACTGTCTTCTTTTGGCACCCCTTTTTAGATAAGCCCACCTCAAGCTCTCAACCCCAAAATAGGTGTCCCACCGTGGGCACCTCACAGAATCAAAATGCCCACAGCTTCCTTAGACTAGTCCGTCTCTTGTTTTTCTAGGTGGATCCACAATGGAAGGTTTTAGCTTGACAGCTGTAAACAAGTGTGCCCACTGTCCCCCCAGGAACCCCAGGCGATCCCCTCTTTCCTCTCCTAACAGGGCATTTTAAAACCTAGACAGAGCATTGTCTGTGTGCCCCACCAGGTTGCCTCAAACATGCAATGGGCAGGCAGGTCCAGCTCTGGGGTCTAGAGAGCAGCCTGTCAGAGCCGAACACCCGTCTCTGCCCTCACCCCAGGCCACTGCTTGTTAAGGACATGCTGACGGTTATGTGGCCCGAATCGTCTAAGCATAAAATTAGCTTCTGTGTCTGTTCTGCAAGGGAAAGCAAACTGGGCTAAATATACCACAGGGCCATGGGTGGTCAACAAGCCAGATATGAGACAAACAGCGGGCCAGTGGGAACTGATTTTCCCAGGGGCCCGTGGGTTGGAGACCATAGGTTCCAAAAGCAGCTGCCAATGGACTTACGATACTGCCAGGGTGTAGTCCTGACAGCTGAGTGCTTGTCCAGCATATGAGGCCTTCCAGCCTCAGCAGATGTAAACCAGATGTGGTGACACCTGTCACCCCAGCACTCGGGAGGAGGAGACAGGAGGATCAGAGGCTCAAGGTCATCCTCGGCTATATAATAAATAGAAGATCAGAGATGAGACCTTGTCTCAAACAATGTAGCAAGCATCCTGCATGTATGACAGGCTAGCCTTTCTGGTACCCTGCAACTGTCTGTGCTCTATACACCATGAACACACACACTCATGCCTTCCATGTCCCTGTGTTCATAGGGCACACAGCATGTGCTCATAAGCCACCTGCACATGTAAGCATGCGTGTGTGTTCACACACACCCCAGACCATGCATTCACACACATGCATGTGTGCCTGTATGTATATAGGCATGCATGTATATGCCTATACACACACACACACATATGCCCACGCACACACCTGTGAATTCTGCATGTGGCCATCACACCAATGAAGCTTCCCTCCTTTGAAGCTTATAAAAGCCCCAGCCTGAGCTTGGACCCCTGCTGCCCAGCTCCATGGGTCACACATCCCCTGTCTCTGCTTCTGGAGTGTCCTCACCTCCTCCTAGGCACCTGCAGTGTCTCCCATGCAACTCTCAGGTAACCAAATGTACCAGAAATATTTACTGGGTGGAAAAAAAGAAAAAAGAAGAAGGCGCGGACTTCAAGCTGAGAGAGAATGTTGTCCTAGATATTTTTAGAGTGACTTTTAACAAAGCGGAGAGTTTCAGATGAAGGTGAAAGTTTCATAAGAAAACATCTCGCGGCATCTTGTTTCAGACTCCCTGATCAGCTGTGCTTTTAGAAAGTCGGAAAGAATGCAGAGTTGAAAACAGGGCCTGTCCATCTCAGCGCCGACTGGGCAATCCTGCTTGGCCATGTTTCCTATCCCCCCCACACCCCCACACCCCCTGACCGAAGTATGGGCATACTGGGACCTTGTCCTGTCCTCCTCCGTGACCTCCATTCTATCCCAATAGACTCCCTCAACCACAGAGGGTTCCGGAATTCCAGCTCCCATGAGCTGGGTCTTTGAACTGCTTCTCCGGAAAAGGGATCTGTTTGTTTGTTTGGCTGTTTGATTTGGTTTTGGGTTCTCCTAAATGCAGAAGATGAGGCTGTACAGACTTCTGCCTCCTTTCTGAAGTGGGGGAAGATGGAACCGCTTATGTTTCTGGACAGTCCAAGCTCTCCATCCATGTCACTGGACATGCACACACTCACTTGAGACCCTGCTGTGTAGACGGCTGAGACAATAAAGACGCCAACAGGAGGGACAGGCCCACCCCAGTAGCTAGTGGGGCATACACAAACACCCAGAAGGGGGTGATGTGGTAACTGCAGAGGTGCTAGGAGGGGCAGACCAAGGTAGTGAGGCCAGTGGCTATGCACATCCTTCTAAGAAGACAGATTTTCTCTTCCAAGACAATAGGGAGCCAGTGAGGGTAGTATACTGACCCCAGCAGGCTGACTGGATGGAAGCCGTTAACTCCTGCAGTCCCGTGTCCCATCCCCCTCTGCCCCGTGACTGTGATGTTACTGACCATGGCCCAGTGATGCCGTCCCCCCAATCACCCCCCAAGCTCTCCTAGGAGAGATGTCATCAGACCACACTTCATTAAACCTCACAGCAGGTTTTGGTTGCTCCCAGCACTGACCTCACGGGCGTCCTGCAGGGGCAAATCTGATTTTCCCTTTTAGCATAGGGGTGGTGGCTGGAACATCTGCAATGTGTTAGAGGTAAGACCAGGGTGGAGCCTGGTAGCTTCACACAGAACCTCTCCAAACCAGAGCTGATAATCTCCCTTCCACTCTCTTCTCTCAGACCTCTCATCATCCGCCCGGTCCACGCGGGATGCCTGGCATTTGAAGAGAGCCATCGCCTGAGCATCTGCTGAGGATTCCTTTTACTGTGGCATTGGAGAGTTTCTTTGGTACGAGGAAGGCGTGTCTGTCGCCACTACGGCTTTGTAATTTCCTCTTCTATCTTTGAGCCGGGTCTTGCCCCTTTCTGCTGCCATGATGGCCCAGTCCAAGGCCAACGGCTCACACTACGCGCTGACGGCCATCGGCCTGGGGATGCTGGTCCTCGGCGTCATCATGGCCATGTGGAACCTGGTCCCTGGTTTCAGCGCTGCAGATAAGCCAACAGCTCAGGGCAACAAGACAGAGGGAGGCAGTGGCATCCTCAAGAGCAAGACTTTCTCGGTGGCCTACGTGCTGGTCGGCGCGGGCGTGATGCTGCTGCTGCTGTCCATCTGCCTGAGCATCCGGGACAGGAGGAAGCTGCGGCAGAGCGAGGAACTGGCCCATATCCAGCAGCAGGCGGGAGCTGTGCCTCCCACGCAGGAGGAAGACAGGTGAGACGTGAAGGGCTGCTCCCTCCAGCCCAGGGGAGGGGCACATTCGCACATAGGCGAGAAAGAGCTTCATTTTAAGAGTCTGCATTTTCACTCTCTTCCAGGAAGGTGCCTCATGCCCTTTCACAAATACCTTCGCGCTTACTAGATACAGGCTTCCCAATTCCTGCGGCTTAGGTGGATTACAAGGTGTCCCACAGAAACGGGTGGGGACCGGGGACTCTAGGCTGCTTGTTTGTTTCTCTGTCCCAGGTGCTGTGTGTGTCTACTTTGATTTGAAAAGATCACAGTACAATATTTCACTTGGCCCCAAAATATCACTAGCATATTTAAAAGGTAGATGACAGACGGGGGTGGGGGGGTATGTGATAAAATTTGGCATCTCTCTTAAGGTCCATTTCTGTGACTATGATTAAAAACACTCTGACGAAATCAAACTTAAATGGAAAAGGATTTATTTGGTTCACAATTCCAGGCCACTGTCCATCATTTCAGGGGAGCCTAGGGGGCAGGAGCTTGAAGCAGCTGGCTTGCCCCACTGTCAAGAACAGAGAGCAATGAGTTAATGCATACAGACACTAGCTCTCCTTTGCAGCCAGTCTCGGCCCCACGAAATGCTGCCACCCATATTCAGGGTGTATCTTCCCACCCCCAGGGGCATAATCAAGATAGCACTCACACTACACACACACACACACACACACACACACACACACACACACACGGACAGACACCAACATTCTCAGATGCTAGTCCCCAGCTGATTCTAAGTTGTGTCAAACTGACAACTGCTCAAAGCTAGCCCAGCGCCTTACTCGATGTATTTTTCATTGCTCTGACCAAATGCAGAGTCGGCTTGAGGAAGGAAGGGTTTATCCCGCCTCTCAGTTTGAGGCTAGGGTTCATTGTGGAAGGGAAGGTGCGGCTGCAGGAGCCTAGGACGGCCCGTGATATTATGTGGGAACTTAGGAAGCAGAGAGAGATGAAGGCTGCTGTCCAGTTCACTTTCTCCTTCCCCCCATTTCATCCACACCCAGCCCTGGATGGTGTTGCTCACATTTAAGTCAGAGTGGATCTTCCGTACTCAATTAAACCCCTCTGGAAACACCCTTGGCCTCATCCTGCATGTCTTTGGACTTGACCTGGCATGGGTCCACAGGGAATAAAGAAATACAAACACAAGTAAAGCTGGTATTGGGTGGTTGGTGCACTCAGATGAAGAGGCACCAGCAACAGCCAGGAAGCTCACCACATTAGGGGTTCTCTCCAGGGGAGTAGCCTTACACCGAAGTCATCTGGGGTGGAAGCTGTAGTCAGGTCTTTCTGCTCCTACTGGTCGGCCCTAGACCAGGAAGAAGGCCTTGCCATTCCTATGAGTCTGGGACACTGGCATCCTTGATATGCCCTGCCCATGGCAACAGTACACATTGACTCGGGGCTTTATGCATTCCCTCCAACCCTCACAGATATCCCAGAGATGTGTCTCCTCGGTGCTTCCAAATCTCAATATGGCAATGAAGATGAACCCCTCCCTCCATGGCAAAAGAGTCCTTGTGAATTAATACAGAAGATGAACAGACTGGTCCAAAAATAGACAAAGGCCATAAACAATGATTTTGTAGGTGTTTAACCTCATTAATCCTAGGGTACAAACAAAAAGACCCACATTCAGGATGGGTCTTCCCACCTTAGCTAGCCCAATCTAGAAACCCCTTAGGGGCAGGCTTCTCTCTTAGGGGCTTCTAGATCCTGTCTAGTCCACAATGTCATTAATCACCACAGTCTTGATGTATTCATTCCCACATCTGTAAAATGGGCAAAACAAAAGCCCTTACAGTGTGGTTAGAAATGGGAACTTGGTTCCTCCATGCTAAAATACTGATTACTTCTACAGCCGACACATGGTTTGCAGAATTGGTGTGTGCAGGCCTAGTACTCACCAGCAACCCCGAGTCTACCTTTTGGGGACTTTTGGTGATCTGAGTGTGCACTGACACCCTGTGTTTGTCCTCCTGCAGCCAGGAGGAGGAGGAGGAGGCCTCCTCACGGTACTACGTCCCCAGCTACGAGGAAGTGATGAACACAGGCTACTCAGAAGCCAGAGGACAGGAGCAGAACCCCAGACTAAGTATCTCTCTCCCCTCCTATGAGTCACTGACTGGACTCGACGAGACGACCCCCACGAACACCAGGGCGGAGACGGAGGCCAGCCCGGGGCATGTTCCCGACAGGCAAAACTCCAAACTGGCCAAACGCCTGAAACCACTGAAAGTTCGAAGAATTAAATCTGAAAAGCTTCACCTCAAAGACTTCAGGATCAACCTACCAGAAAAGAACGTCCCTCCTCCCTCTATCGAGCCTTTGACTCCTCCGCCACAGTACGATGAGGTCCAGGCGAAGGCCCCCGATGCCCGGCCTCCCGACTGAGTGACCCTGCTGACATCACTCCCTCCTGTCTCACCCTCCACACCGACAGACTGCGCAGAAGCCACTTCAGCCAGAGAGGGGTCAGGACACACTTAGCCACTGTGATGGGGATTCTGGGTAGAGGGAGTTACTAAAGACGGTTCGCAGAGCCTCACGTAGCGGGAGCGCCGGAGGGATGCTGAGGGCTTGTGATACTGTGGACCACAACAAGGTGTGTGGCCTTGGCAATCCCCTCCCATCTTCCTTCCCAACTCGGGACCGCTGGCGACGCACTCCTCTTGTGAGCTGGGACAGGATCCCTGGCGACCGGTGTAGACCGAGGTTGTCTCCTTTAGCTTTCCACCACAGCTGCTGTGTTTCAAAAAGAAACCAAGTGTTTTGCTTGCTTTCTTCACTGGAGCCTTCAACAGGCGGGGAATCGGCTCAGCTTTGACGAAAAGGACACACAACTGTCTTCTGAATACAATGAGAACATGTGGGGGTGAGTTGTCCGGGAGGCCTCTAGGGGGCGCTGGTGCTGTCGGTTCTTTGAGGGTCCAAGGCCTGACGACCTTCAGCATGTGACGTGCGAGGTGGTGTCTGAATCGGTACACTGGTCTCCCGTGGCAAGAGAGGAAAAGCCGCTGTTGGTGTCTTCTCGGAGGTCACGCGGCTGGGTGTTTTATAAATAAAGTGTTTTATATGTAGCACACCTGACCATCGAGTCATTGCAGCTGGAAGATACTAATAATAACAGCTAGTCAACATGAATACTTAATTCACAGGGGGCTGTGCTCTGAGGAACAGAGGTGGTACCCCATGTCATCTGTACCCAAGTCTGGCGCCCTGCTGTTCTGCGGACTGGTTCCCTAGCTTAGGTCAGCCCGGGGAACCCCGTATTGTACCGCTAACAAGGAGTTCTGAGTACAGACCGTCTGGTTTCAGAATCTGAGTTCTTACTCTCCTTGCTGAGTAACTGAGGCCGTCCTGTCAACCCACAGGTCACATAGAAGGCACTGGTAGCTTCGAGCAGGCCCCCATCCCCTCCCTAGGCAACCCTGGAAGGAGCTCAGCCTGTCACCTACGCCCAGCACTGACTGGAGGTAGATATGTCCTCTAGGAGGACACACTGTCTACAGTGCGGTACACACCACTGTGAAAAACCCCAGGGACCACACATTGTTAAAGAAGGGAACCGGAACTTTGGGGTCTAGATCTTGGCCCTGGAGGAAAGCCTGGGAGAGACTTGAGTTCTAAGGATTCTTTCTGTTATGGGTGGCATGGAGTGACCTGTTGGGAGCCACACGGGCACTTTGGTCTCTGAGGAAGAGAAAGTCTTTGGGCTCTGAATGTTTCACAGCAAGTTCTGGGAAGCTAGATGGGAAATCACGGGCTTGACCCCAAGCGAGACGAATGACATTAAAAGGCACACATCAGTGTGAAAGTCTGAGCTGGGGATGTGGTTCAGTGGGGAGTGAATTGGGTTCACACACAGAAAGCCCTGGGTTCGATCCCCAGCACCACATAAACCAGGTTGGTAATGCACATCAGCAATCTCGGCACTCAGGAGCTGGAGGCAGGAGGATCAAGAATTCAGGGTCATTGTCTGTGAGTTCAAGGCTAGCCTGAGCTACTACGTGAGACCTTGTGTCAAAACACAGAATGTGTAAAAACAGAGTCTGTGTGTGTGTGCATTTGTGTGTGTGTGAGAGAGAGAGAGAGAGAGAGAGAGAGACAGAGAGATGGAGAGAAGAGGGGTTGTACCGTTTTTTACTTTTCATTTTTTTTAAAAAGAAAGAAGAAGACTAAAAAAGAAAAAAAAACTCATTCTCTTTCATTTCTTCTTGTCACTTTTTTCTTTGGATGCTAAGGATGTAATACATCACACACCATCACCACCACCTCCGCCAACACCACCATCACTGCCAACACCACCACCACCTCCACCTCCACCACTACCTCCGCCAACACCTCCACCTCCACCACTACCTCCGCCAACACCTCCACCACCACCTCCATCACCACCTCCACCACCACCTCCATCACCACCTCCACCACCACATCCACCACCACCTCCACCACCACATCCACCACAATCATCTCCACCTCCACCACCACATCCACCACCACATCCACTACCACCTCCTCCACCACCACATCCACCACCTCCATCACCACCACCTCCACCACCTCCACCACAATCATCTCCACCTCCAGCACCTCCATCTCCACCACCTCCACCACCTCCGCCAACACCTCCACCTCCATCTCCACCACCTCCACCTCCACCACTACCTCCGCCAACACCTCCACCACCACATCCACCACCACCTCCATCACCTCCACCACAATCATCTCCACCACCACCACCACCACATCCACCTCCTCCACCACCACATCCACCTCCTCCACCACCACATCCACCTCCTCCACCACCACATCCACCTCCTCCACCACCACATCCACCACCACCTCCACCACCTCCACCACAATCATCTCCACCTCCACCAGCACCACCACCACATCCACCTCCTCCACCACCACATCCACCACCTCCATCACCACCTCCACCACAATCATCTCCACCTCCACCATCACCACACACATGCACGTGCTGAACCCACCCCCAGCCCTCTTCCTGTCACATTTTTGTTCTTAAGACAAATAGAAGAAGGCAGAGATCAGGGACAAAACTCAAGAAGTCACCCGGGTGTTCTTGGGCCTGCCTGGGCCCAGGACTGTGGAACAGCAGAGAGAATCTCATGTGAGGTGCGTTAATCCAGCTGTGTCCCCGACCCATGGCAGGAGGAAGCTCAGCAGTCCTGTGGGTGCCTCGTGACCTTCCTACTTTTAGGTTAACACAAAAGGAACTTGAGAAAACCAACCAGAAGAAGCTGAGCTGGGTGAGGTTCCTCCCCTCTGGGAATTTGGACCCCGACAGTGTGCAGAAAGTGGGTACCAAGCACCAGCAACACACATGATTGTTGCTCCAGGCTTTTGACAGCAGGTATGGTGTGACCAGCTGACTGCGGGAAGACCCCACTACCAGTACTGTAACTTGAACTCCAAAGCACCTTCTGATGCTTATTTTAAAAGATACTTTTATTGGTACATGTGTGTACACATGAGTGTGTGTGCGTGCGTGTGTATGCACGTGCATGCACGTGGGGGCCGCATCACAGTGAACATGTGGAAATGAGAAGAGCATTGCAGGTATGAGTTCTCTCCTTCCCTGCTGTGTTGAAGGGTTTAAACTCAGATTGTCAGGCAGGCAGGAGGACACAGCATTTTTAATGGAGCTCCTGCGCCCTCCCCTCCACCCAGGGACAAGGACTGAGAGTCCTCAGCTCATCAGAGGTGGCTCCTTCTGCACTCAGCTTCATTCTCTTTACAAAGCAGCCTCCCTTGGTCCCCTCACCTTGGCCCTCAAGACAGTCCCCTAGACACCCTTCACCTCTGAGACCCCATCAACCATTACTCAGTCCATCTCATGATGGAACGAGGGAGTCGATTGCTGTGAGTGGTCCTCCGGCTGCCCACATGCCCACCATGGCGTGTGCAGGTCTATGTACTAATAAAATAATAAATAAAAAGAACCCTTTTAAAAAGAAACTGTCATCCTTAGAGATCAGCCTGAGTGTGTCACTAAAAAAGAGCGTCTTTTCTTTAACTTTTACTAAGCCAATTTTCCTCTTCCTCCCTAATTCTAGACTTAAGGTCTAATTCCCCATGGCCTCGTAGGAACATACTTCTGGTCCCTTTCTCCCCAGCCTGCCTTTAACAGGCCTTTTCAAAGTTTTCATAACCTGGAATTTATTAACATTCTATAAAAAGGTATGGGAAAAGATAATGGCCAGTGTGCCTACAAAGTCAAATATGCTCTGGGAATTTTTAGACTGCTTAGCAGCATGCTTGGAGTCAATGGGGAGCATGTAACAAAATTAAAAGACCAGGGTAAAATTTGGAAACAGAAATGATGGCGTGACTTTTCTGGGTTGTAAATCTTCTCCAGAAAAAGAAAGGAAGAAAACGTCAGATAAGACGGTATGGCGCCCAGAGATAAGCCTCGGCACTGTGGAGAATTCAGGAACTGTGCGCGACTTCAGAACCAGACAAATGTTCGCTCTTCATATCTGTCCTTGCACTGTCCTATCTGAATGTCCCCCGATGCCTGTGCCCAGCCAAATAAAGTCACCAACATCCGTGAGAAAAATAATATGCTGAAGGAACTTCTACTTCTCGAATAAAATCTGTTAAGCCACGCAAATAATGTTTGCATGGAAACGAGGGAGGATTTGACATAAGCTGGTGCAAAAAGACACCTGTGACATCCAATTTCCTGCCTCTTTCAACATTAAATGAGAGAGCAAGAGCTGCATTTTCTTATTTCTGATAAATGTCTTGTTTGTTATAAAAAAAAAAATCAGATCTCAAGTACTAGCGCACTAGTCTATTTTGTTGGTGGTTTTTTAGGTCTGAGCACGCCACACAAGCCTTTGCAAGGGTATATCCATTTCAGCATCAGAGTCCACACAAAGGCAGCGGAGATATGGTTGCAGAAATATGCTTCTTTCAGGAGATGCTGCAGGAGGAAGACAATCATTTTAATGACTAACAGTAACGCTGAGGTAGACACAGATGGCTCAGCAGGAAAAAGTGATTGAAATGCAAGCCCCATGACTTGAGTTCCACCCCTGGCTCCTGCACACTGTCCTCTGACCTGCACACGTGTGCTATAGCAAGCATGCACACACGCATGTGTGCACATTGAACAAATGCATGAACGGACTAAGAAAAAGTTTTAACAGTAATACGGGGGTGGTGAGCCTCAGCTTGTGGAGGTGACCTGAGTTCAATTCCCAGTGTCTTAGTTCAGGTTACTATCGCTGTGATGAAACGCCAAGACTAAAAAGCAAGTTGGGGAGGAAAGGGTTTGTTTGGCTTACATTTCCACATCCATAGTCTGTCACTGAAAGAAGTCAGGACAGGAACTCAAACAGGACAAGAACTCATAGGCAGAAGCTGATACAGAAGCCATGGAGGGGTGCTGCCTACTGGCTTGGTCCCCATAGTTTGCTCACCCTGCTTTCTTATAGAACCCAGGACCCACCACTTCAGGGATGGCACTTCTCACAATGGGCTGGGCCCTCCTGAGTTGATCACTAATTAAGAAAATGCCCTACAGTCCCGATCTTATGGAGGTGTTTTTTTCTCAATTGGCAGTTTCTCCTATTAGATGAATTCAGCCTATGTCAAGTTGGCATAAAACTAGCCAGCCCACCTGGCATCCACATAGGTTGTCCTCTGACTTCCACACGCAAGCTGTGGCATGTGCCTTCACCTATGCACACTACACACACACACACACAATAATAAATAACTTTTAAAAGATAATGCTGTCGATTAAAAACATTCATTTCATCCATCAAAATGCCGAAAAAACAACCCACGACAGCAACCGCAAATTTTAAGACTTGATTTTTATATTCATTTTCCAAGCTAAGAAAAACATTTTCTGAAAGCAGTAAAAATTGTCCATCAGTCTTTTCCTTAAGCCAATAATAGAAAGGTCTCAAGAGGCCACGTCAGAGCCAGAAATAGGACTAACGTGGAGGCTGGGGAGGAATGGCAATGGTTACATTCCACAAATATGCTGAAGACAGGCTGTCCCGTGGGTCTACTTAATGGAGCCTGGAATACTTAGGTATGTACTTTCCCCACTCTGAGACAGGGCCTTGAACTTGCTAAGTAGCTGAGGATGACCTTGAATTTCTGATCCACCTGCCTCCACTTTTACACACCCTTTCACTGAGTAAGGCAATGAATACAATCTTCTCTCCACTGAGTGTTTCGCTCTGGCCTTCTCGCATTGGGGGTTGGGTGACAATGACTTAAGGAAGGCCAGCAGCATCCTCAGCCTGTACTCACAAGATGCCAAGAGCACCTTCTGGGTAGGCTGTTGTTGTTAGGATCTGAGTTGTCCTCAGTGGTTTATGAAAAGGCCTGGTCACCAGCCTGCGGTACCAGTGGAAGATGGTAGATCCTTGAAAAAGCTGGAACCTGGCTGAAGGACATCAGACCACTGGGGCATTGTGACGTGGATCTAGTATATCTCCTGTAAGCTCGTGTTTTGAATGTTGGGACCCTGGCTTGTGTCACCATTTGAAGGCTGTGGAACCAGAAGATGGGACCTGGCTGACAAAGTAGGTCACCGGCAGTAGGTCCTTTGAGGTTATGTCCACTGTGATAGTCAATATTGATTGCCAAATGGACAGAATCTAGACGCATGCAGGGGACAGGCCTCAGGGAAAGTCTGTAAGCGAGTCAGAGGAGGCTAATTAAATTGAGAAGATCCACCCTGAATGTGGGCAGCAGCATCCTATCAACTGGGATGTTAGTCCATAAAAAAAGAAAAAGTGAGCTGAGCACCAGCATCCATTTCTCTCTGCTTCCTGACTGTGGATACCATGTGACCAGTTGCCTCTCTCTCTCTCTCTCTCTCTCTCTCTCTCTCTCTCTCTCTCTCTCTCTCACACTCTTCCTGCATTTGTCTTTTGAAGACAGAATCTCACAGAGGTCCAGGCTGACCTCTGTAAATGGAGAGTTTTCTCCCATCTCGCATGGTTTCTCTCAGCCCACCAGTCCCCACAGCCACTGATAAGACAACCACTCAGAGACACATATTCATAGCATACAGAAAGATATCCTACATTAGATCTCCAACTGGCTAGGTAGCCAACAAGCTGCTGGACCTTGCATGTCTGCAAGACCCTGTCCTCTCCTCCTGCCTCTTGATCCTCCTGCCTCCACCTCCCAGGTGTTAGGATTACAGGTATGGGCCACAACATCCAGTTACCACTCTGTTCTCAGAGAGGCCTAGTTGATTTCATGGTGTGAGATTCCTGGCCACTCACAGAGCAGACAGAGCCACTGCCAGGGTCCCCAGTTCACAGATGAGACAGAGCCTCGGAAAGTTAAAAGACCTGCTCACTGCTGACACCAGAGTCAGAACGAGGCCTCGCAGCCACCATACTGGCTCTATGCATCCAGTCTGTGTATTTTTGCCTGGTAATGGCTAACAGCACACACGGCCTGGCTTCCCCAGGTTCCCAGGACATCAGCACTGCACTTATGTCAAGCATCGACCGTCCCCACCTGAGGTTCCACCACTCCTGGTTGTAGATGCTCTTTGTAATAGTGCCATCAAAGACCTTCCAACGAAACACGTCTACCAGGTAGCTGAAGGGGATGAAGGCAATCTTCTCCAGGGCAATGCCTAACAGGAAGTTAACCTCCTCCTCTGGGGATAGGGTCAGGGCAATCAGGAGGCAGCTTCTTGGTCCTCCCTTTCTTCAGCCTTTCCCTGAGGGCTTTAGCCCCCCCTCAGCCCTAGCTGAAGCCCCAGGCTCAGGCTGCCCTCCCGTTATCCCTTTGGTCCCCATCACCTGAATCCTGGTGTTGTTGACTGAGCAAACCCCTGCTGAGCAGGTGCTTGTGGGAAGAGGCTGAGAGGGTGATCACCGACCCCACAGCCTCTTCAAAGGCTGGACTGGCACCTTCTTGGTAGATTACAGAGAGGTTCTGGAACTGCAAGTAGTACTGGATATGGCCCATCTGGTGGAAGATGGAGAGCAGGTCTTCTATGGTCACCTCGGTGCACTTCTTTATCCTAGGGTTAAAGGGTAGGGGTCAAGGAGCATGGGGATGCCCTGGGGACACTTAAAGCTTCTTCATTCAAGCTTCATTAAGGCATTGAGGTCATCAAGCAGGAGACCAGAGGGCCTTGGCTACCATGTTTTCCCACTCTAGACCCTATAGCCACCCAGTAACCATGTCCGCTATTCCCCGAACCCACCTTCTCTTTCATGCTCCCGAGTCTCATCCCCTTTTCCCAGCCCTGCTCTCCCCTGCCCACTCCTCGCTACATGGCCAGTGGAGAAACAGAAGAGGGGTGAGCGTAGGATGATGGCTGAAGACCATGCTGGCTGTAGACACCTGACGTCGTTGCCTCTGTAGAAGTTCCAGGCTGAGGCGTGGCACTCCACCTCCCGCCCGTCAGCTGGCTTCTCCAGCATTGATTTTACCCAGAATTCAGGTGGTGCAGGCAACAGTCCCAGGGAGGTAATGAAGATGTTAGCCTCTTGAAACATTTTTTCAGGCTTCCAGTGCTGTGGGGAAAAGAGGTGCGGTGGTTCTGTCTGCCCATTTGCCTAAGGGGATTGTGGGACAGGGACATCCAAAGGCTCAGCACTGACCTGATTCTTCATGATCTTTGTGATGTCCTCAGGTGGCTTTTTTGGGTAGGGCAGGGCTATGTCTAAGATGTTGTCCCAGGACTGGGCCCACATGTTCCCTGGAAAGAGGAGGAAGGGGCTAAGGGGAGGAGCAAGAGTGGCCTTCCTTCTCATCTGCGTCCACCACCAGCCTGGCCCTTACCAAGGAGATGGGCAGGGATGGGGCCTTGCAGGTCGATGACCTCAGGCCCGTAGTAGCGGAACAGTGAGCGGCGCACGTAGGCGTGTAGGTTCAGGTAGAGTGGCTGCAGCTCGTCAAAGAGCCGCTTCAGGTCTTCCTCCAGGGTGTTGGACTCATACTTGGCTCTCCACAAAGCCCCCATGTCTTTGTACCCTAAGATAGAAGAGACTCACTGGTGTTCCCCATAACACCGTGCCTCCAGTGAGCTGGCAAGGAGGCCTGGACGTGCCCTAAGGAAGCATCTCTACCCCCTGCTCCTGGAGGGGGGCGATCTTAGGCTTGAACACGACCTCCCCAGGCATCACCTACCCTAGACTAGCTCAGAGGTAGAAAATATCTAGTGATGACCACAGTGGGAGCTCCTGGTCATGCCTTGTAAGGTCCTCTCCTTTCCTAGGGCCATGTCCTGAACCCTAAAGCCCTGTGGTCATGTGGGTTCTTTCTAATCTCCTAAAACCCTGATTTCCTCCCACGGTGGTACAGGGTCTCTGTGTGGATGCTTTCTTCCTTGTCTGTCCATACTCACCTTTCCAACGGGGGCAAATGTCAGAGAGACCTGAGCATATATTTGAAGCTCTCCTCTTCCCCCTGGCCTGAGCATCCCCTTCCTCCATGGCTTCATACTAAGCATCATTAGAGATGCGTGTTTGCTAGATGAGGCTCACCTCCCAGTGGAGGAAGTCTATGAGGCAGACATCTGTCCTTTCACTTAGAGAGTCTTAGGGTTTCCCCAGCACCCAGCCCAGGGGTCTTTTTTTTTTTTTTTTTGAGACAGGGTTTCTCTGTGGCTTTGGAGCCTGTCCTGGCACTAGCTCTGTAGACCAGGCTGGTCTCGAACTCAGAGATCTGCCTGCCTCTGCCTCCCGAGTGCTGGGATTAAAGACGTGTGCCACCATCGCCCGGCCCAGGGGTCTACTTTATTTGCAGGGTCAGTTACAGGGCTCATGCCCCCCCCCCCGTCTGCCCCATCTACAACCATTCTGCTGTTGCCTGCACCCTCTGCTGCATAGGCTTCTTTCTTTTCCTGGCCATTGACCCAAGACATTATGCCCAGCCTGCTCACCATTATATTGTGCAGCCTTGTTGCTAAGTTGGACATAGTGCTCAAACACAGGACGGATCTGGCGGCCCACGACATCCCGCCAGCGCTGCCAGGCCCACAGGAGTTCCTTCTCGTCCCTGGAGGTGGCCATGATTTCTTCGAGGTCTGTACCCAGAATAGGAGCCACATGGGATGCCATGGCCATCTACCTCAACTCTCACCCCTGCCCCGCCCCAGGTGCTTCCCGTCTGGGAAGGGAACACAATTGAGGTCAGGGGTGGGGCTTGGTTGCTCACCAGGCTCCAGAGGCAAGCAGGGACCCTCATCCAGACACACCTCAGCTGTACTATACGTTGTCTCCATGTAGGTCAGAATTCTGTTGTACTGGAGGGGGCAGGTGTCACCCAGGGCAGACCCATGCCCTTGGGCCCACTCCCAACACTAGCCCCACCAGCCAGGAGAGACAGACCTGGCTAAAGTACCCCTCCTCCTCTAAAGGAAGCTCTGGTTCTTCCCCACCGGCATCCCCTCCTGCCCCAGAGACACTTGGTTCCCAGTCTGATCTAACCCGCCCTCCCCTGGGCTGCAGGAGTGTGTGCCTTGGAGGCCTGGGGCTCTGTCTATCACCTCCCGGAGATCCTCCGTGGGCAAGGCCGACTTGTCTATGTTCTGCAGCTTACTCAGCATGCGCTTCACGTCCGGGTTCTGGAAATGGTCTGTCTTAAACAAGCGGGCTCGGCTACCAAAGTACAACATGAACTGAGACCTCTCCACCTCCTTCTGAAACTGCAAACAAGGTGATCATATTGGTTATGGAAGATGGGGGATGAAGTACGGGTCCCATGCTGAATTCTGAGGCCACACCCTCAAAGCCCACTTTAAGGGTCCAAAATCATTGAAGACTTGCTAAAAGGGAGAGGATGCTAAAGTCCTTAAAAGGAAGGAGGTAAAACTTGCAAGGGCAAATAATCCAGAAATTATTATGTAAAAAAAAATTCAAGGCCACTGAAAGGCCTGGAGCTTGCGGTCCATTTTGACGTGTGTTTTGGAGTGTCCTTCTTTCTACATATTATGGACACAGGGCAGGAACTATGATCCCCAACCCCCAGGATCCCTAAGAAGATCAAGGGGAGGGAGGACCTGGGGGGGTAAATGGTACTACACCATGTTCCTTCGATTTCGCTTGGTGATGTTGGTGACATAGTTCCAAGTGGCCTCCATGAACTCATTAAACACAATTCGGGCTGGTTGCTCATAAAACTTCAGAAACAACTTTGCTTGCGTTTCGTTGTAGAACGCGTCTGCAGGGAAGGGGGTCATGTGGGCCTGGGGAAGGGACTGCCCCTTCCCAGTCCTCTTATCTGGTCCTTCCTTCAGGTCCCAGCCGTACCTAAGCTTGGCTGTCCCGCAGTCCTGAGCCATGGCAAGAGCTGCCCGTAACAGAGGAGCACAAGTAGGGAAGGTCCAGGGCAAGTCCATCTTGTTCTCATGACCAAGAGAACAGCAGAGCTGGGAGAAGCAGTGGCCAATCACGAGTCAGCTCCATATTTGTGACATCAGGGGCCAAAGGGTCTACCATGGAATGTTAGAACTAGAAAGATTGCCTACCCGGCCTCTTGTGCAACTGCCCCCATTATGCAGGTGAGGGACCTTCTGAGGTCCAGCAGAGTCCAGTCATGTGACCTGGCGAACATGGCTAGCTAGTGGCAGAGCTAAGAGGAGAATTTGACTTTTAAGTCAGAACTTGTTTTATTTTGTCACTTTTCCCTGGGGTTGGAGGAAACCGTGGGCTTTGGCTAGGGACTGTTGGGACATCCCCCTTCAAAGGCTGGGGTCACTTGAGTAAGTGGGATGTTGGATGGATAGATGCTTAGATGGATGGATGGATGTATAGATGAATGGATGATGGATGGATGGATGGATGGTACACGGGTAGAAGTTACATTTTTGAGTCTTTAGACTCTTAAGATGAGGTCTTAAGCCTCATCTTCCCAGATTCTTCTAACTTCTCTCAGGGCCATATTTTTGGCCTTTTTCTCTCAAGAAACATGCGATTGACTCCAGGGCTCCCTTGCTCTTCCCCTCTGACCTGATTTTGTAGGAGCCGTCAGGGCTCTGTGGGGTGTGAAGTGTGGTTGCTGCCCTCCACTCAGCGTCCATGTCCATGAGTACTTGAGAATGGTTTCCAAGCCAACCAAGAGACCCTGTTCTCTGTGAGCTCTTGGTATTTGGGAGCACGGTCCAATCTGTTGTATTTTGGGATTTCTTTCTTGGGTTCATTTTCCTGCACCTGCAGACTCTTTCTACCCCGTGTTTCCTCTATCCTTAGCCTAGGCCCACCTTGACCCCTTTTACACGTGCTGACACCATGACCATTAAACTGACCAATAACCCCACCCCCAAATATTAGTCATTGTTGTCAAGACATTTACAATCTAAGGAGAGAGGGCTGGACTGGTTAAACATATAGGGAAGCCCTTCTTGCTTCAAGTATAGGCGTGTTGATAAAGCAGGATGGAGCACGGCAAGAGCCCCGTTGGAAAGAGCATGAGGTTCTGCATCGTTGAGATGGAGTCTTGCTCTGTAGCCTAAGGCTGGTCTTGAACTAAACTGTTTCTGCCTTTACCTGGGGAATCCTGGAATCAAAGGCATGTATCCCCATGTCCAGCGAATGCAAAATGCAGAGCTGAGCTAGAAAAGGAGAAAAGGGGCTCTCCAGAGAGTAGACAAAGAAGACAGTGGAGAAGTGAGCAGGGGCTGAAGCCCTGTGGCCACGAGGGAGGTCACAGTGCCTCTGCCCCAAAGCTGCAGATTTGGTGCCTGGATCCTGCAGCTGGTCCCCTTCTACAGTATAGATGTAACATCTTCCATTAAGTAGGAAGCCAAAAGGCTTCATTCCTTTTTCCTTCCAGCCCTGACCTCTTTCTTTATAGGAAGGATCTCTTGGGGCCTACTCTAGCCTTGGGCTTACCAAGCTAAGGATGGCCTTGAACTCCTGATTCTTCTCCTAGCTCCCTAGCCCTGGAGGCATCCCTGGTTTATGTGATTCTGGGGATTAGGCCCGAGCTCTGTGAATGCCAGGCAGGCACTCTACTGACTGAACGGCATCTGCCCCTCACATAGACAGATGACTCAGGAGTCAACCTTCTCAAACAGAAGAGAAAAATCAGTTGTGACTACAGTAGCCAGCCCCACACAGCACCTTCCAGGGACTGGGCACGGTGGGGGACTTTCACCAGCACTGTCTTTGTAACAAGCCCCTGAGGTAGGCACTTTGATCGAGACCCCGTGTGGATGGAGACAAGCAGAAGGGGCTAAGGAACATGCTCACAGACACACAGCTGACGAATAATGGCAGCTGGACTCAACTGCAAATGCTTTAGTTCCAGAGCTTGCCCTCAGTGACAGGGACAGTGAAATAAAGCAGATTCCACCGAGGAAGGACCCCGAAGTTGTCCTCAAACCTCCCCAGTGTACTGTGGTAAGCAATCCCCAATAAATAAATGCAATTCAAAACAAAACCCATGAATAAGTCATGAAAAATATGTACTGGCCAGATGACCAAGTATGGTGGCTCACGCCTATAATTTCAGTACTTGGGATGCTGAGGCAGGAGGATCACTACCTCCTCTTTCTTTGCCAACTTTCAGGTCGACCCCATCCTGCCTCACTCACCCGAGGAAGCATAAACAGGAGTTTGAACAAGTGTAGTGCTTAAGAATGTTGGCAAATGCGTAAGACCCCAGTACTCAGGAGACTGAGGCAGGAGGATTGAGAATCTGAGATTCAGTCTGGAATACATTGTAAGATTCCTGTCTCAAAACACAAAAAAGTCCAAAACAACCATGTTTCAAAAAGTGCCGAGGGAGGATTAGGATGATGATTCAGTTGGGAAAGTGCTTACTCTGCAAGCATAAGGACCCAAGTTCAAATCCTCAGAACCCTTGTAAAAGCTGGGCACAGCAGCGCATGTCCAGATCTGGCAGGAGCAGCAATAGTGGGATCTTTCGGGCTTCCTGGCCGGTGGCTAGTGGAGTTGACAAGCTCCTGGTTCAGAGAGAAACTTTGTCCCCAAAACTAAAGGGGGTGGGGGTGGGGGGGAGGGCTGGTGAAATGACTCGGTAAAGGTGCCAAGCCAGACAACCGGGTCCCACACAGTAGAAGGAAGGAAGCAACTTCTGCAAGTTGTCCTCTGACCTCCACAGCGGCCCATGGTATCTGCATGTGCACGTGCCCTGCCCGCTGTACAATAAAAATAAATAAGGTGGGGGCCTGGCAAGAGGGCACAGTAGGGCAAAGGTCTTGCTGTGCAAGCCTGAAACCCAAGCTCCGCCCACAGAACCCTTTGGCAGGGGAGATGTCTTCTTCTGGGTGCTGGAGCATGTGAGCACACACGCGCACGTGCAAAGACACAGACACACATACACACACACACACACACACACACACATACACAGTCCAGTAGATAAGACTTGGAATTCTTTGCCCTCAGTCTGAAGATCACTGGGTCCTTTGGGTGAAGGCTGGTGACCTCACGTTGCCCACAGCCCTGAACCTCTGTAGTTTATAAAAATAGGAAACGAGGTCATGTGACAATGACCTTTGTCTGGCAAACAAACTGCAAAACACAGGTTGGGAAGGGGGTGGGGTAAGAAACTAACGTCTGTGGTATACGTACGGATTGGAACAGTCTGGAAGGCATGTGTATAAGTTTCATTGTCTTGCTGAATTGCAAATGTCCTACCCTCTTGCAAATCCAAAGTTCCTCAACTCCCTATCCTACACGGGAGAGGCCTGCACAGATACAGACACACCAACAGACACACACATGTACACACATGTGCACACACAGACACACACCATAGATACAGACAAATACCACACACACACACACACACACACACACACACACACACACGCTAGAGACTGAGCAGTAAAAACCAGGCTAAGGATATTAGGGGCCCCAAATTGGAGCTGTGAACCCTACTAGGGTAAAAATATCAGCAAAGCCTAGGGACAGTTTGGGCTGAGGGTCCTAACAGAGGTGGGACCAGGCTGGAAGATTATGTCCCAGAAATCTGACCAATTTCCACTCAGCCAAGAGCTGGATTTGATAATACTTGAGAGTGGATGCATTTATGTTTGGGGGGGGGAGACACACTGAATACAGTGGCATTCTATTTACATTATCCTGTTTATGTATTGGGGGGAAAGGCTGGGATGAGACACACCAAAGTGTTAGCAGTGCTTGAACATCTTGATGTTGCTATCATGGGCTTTTATTCAGATTTTTCCAAATTTCCCACATAAACATGTAGAGAAAAAAATGTTTTTTAAAAGTTCCTTAAAATGACACTCCCCAAAATCCAAGTAGGCTTTCCGAAAGAAGGCTCAGAGTGAGGGTCTGCGCTCTCGGGTGAGCAGGTGGCCGATAGCAGTGACTCCACGGTGTGGTCACTGGTTGTTGCTCTTTTCCCTGGACAATGCCTGTGTGATGTGGCTCCAACGGGGAACTCTGGCTGTCCACTCACAAAGGGGACAACTGAGCTGGTGTGGCTGGAGTCTAAGTGACTGTGGGGTTTCGGCACGCTCAGTGAGTCAGGTCCTGTAGTAGAAGGGCACCCAGGACCTTGCCCCCGAGACAGCCACACAGGGGTCAGTGTGGACCAGGATGCATGGAAACAGGGTGAGCCTTCCATATGTATCCACGTGCAAAGCAGGAGGCAGCTCGCAGCATCTGCTTCCTTGGTGACTGCGTGGATGGGCAAGGACTGCTTGCTGTGGCAGGACCCAGGCCACCTCACCTGGGTGCCAGGAAGGCCGGTGGGAAAGGTTGAAGGGGATAGGGGCCAGAGCACTTGGGACTATTTGGGTTCCTGCTCTGAGAGCATCTGAGAAGGTAGCAATTGGTAAAGGGGCTTACTGGACTGTCCTGTCCCTGACTTTCCCACAAGAGACACAGACTCAGATGTTGGGGAGGCCCTTTAATGGTATTCACAGAGACTGGATGGGGAATTCCATGTTAGAAGCTGGGTATCTAGAGAATGAGGGCCGGGAGTGGGGGCAGAGAGTGGGCAGGGGCAGGGCAGAAGGAGGAAGGGCCAGCTAGAGTGTGTTACACTCACACACCATGTCCCCCATCCAATTTCTCATGGGACACTCCTCTGCCAGCCTCGCCAGCAGGGTCACCTCAGGAGTGTCTGAGCTCCACCTCGGACCCAAACTGGGGCCCACGGTGGGGCCTGTGGAAGCTGTGGTGTTGGCGGATGGTGAAGAGCCGATGGGTGAGACCCAACGTGGCCACAAGCAGGGAGACACCCAGGAAGAGCAGCACCCATTGGCCCACACGGGCCTGCTGTGGCTCCAGGTACATGCCCAGGAAGTTGACACGGTCAGACTCTGGAAAGGAGCCTTCTGAGCGAGCTGAGCGAGGAAGCAAGGAGACAGGACGGTAGGCAGGGCGACAGACAGGGGCACTG